CCCTCTCTCTTTATCCATCAGCCAATATTGTTGTTGTCAATGACTTTAATGTTCATCACACTGAATGGCTTGGCTCTAGTGTCAGTGACTCTGCAGGCATTATGGCGCACAACTTTTGCCTTACTCAATCCCTAACTCAAATAGTCAACTTTCCAACTCGCTTTCCAGACAACCCGAATCATTTACCTTCTCTACTCGACTTATGTCTTGTTTCTGATCCTAGTCAGTGCTCAGTTTCTCCACACTCACCCTTAGGTGCTTCTGATCATGGTTTGGTCTCTCTAAAACTATTATCTCATTCTTCTTTACCATCAGAATTCCCCTATCATCGTACATCTTACAACTACCTTAGAGCTGTCTGGGACTCTTTCCGTGATTTTCTTCGTGATAGCCCCTGTGTAGATTTCTTTTGACTTCCTGTTGACAAATGTGCTTCTTGCATAACTTTGTGGTTTCAGGCTGGCATGGAATCCTTTATTCCCTCTCGATGATTCCAGGTCAAGCCTCACTCTTCTCCATGGTTTTCCTCACATTGTGCTGCTGCAATTGCCGATCGAAACCATTACTTCTATATCTATCAGCAAAATAATTCTCTAGAAAACAGACGTCTGTTTAATACTGCTAAGAACCATTGTAAAAAGGTTTTGTCTAACACCAAAGCCCACTATTCTCAGATCATGAAATCTTGTATTTCATCACAAAAATTAGGCTCTCGTGACTTCTGGAAAATCTTTAATAGTATCAATAATAAGGGCAAGTCTGTAATTCCACCTCTTTTGTATGGTTCAGACTTTTTCCGCACGCCTAAAGACAAAGCTGAATTGTTTGCCAAGAACTTTTCATCAATATCATCTCTGGATTCCACTAGTTGCGTTTTACCTGATATAGCCGTCAAACAGTTTGATCCATTGCTCCACATCCGTATCACTCCAGCTTCTGTATCCAAAGTAATTTCCTGCTTAGACTCTTCTACAGCTTGCGGCCCGGAAGACATACCTGTTATAGTCTTGCAAAAGTGTTCTCCGAAGCTGCCGTCTATCCTCTCAAAACTATTCAATAAGTGCTTATCAGAGTCTTGTTTTCCAGCCTGCTGGAAAGCAGCATCAGTTATCCTTATTTTTAAAAATTCTGGAGAGCAATTCAATTCGTCTAACTACCGTCCCATTAGTCTTCTTATCATAAGCAAGGTTTTTGAATCTTTAATTAACAAGCACTTAATCTCGAATCTCATAACCTACTTTCTGATCATCAATATGGATTTCGATCTTCTCATTCTACAGCTGATTTGCTAACAGTAATAACCAATAGGTTTTATCGTGCATTAGATAAAGGTGGAGAGGTTAAGGCCATTGCTCTTGACATTTCTAAAGCATTTGATAAAGTTTGGCATGCTGGTCTTCTCCATAAGCTTTCTTCTTACGGTGTGTCTGGAAACATCTTTAAGATTATCGAATCCTTTCTTTCCAATTGTAGTATAAAAGTTGTCCTTGATGGACAGCACTCTTCTTCTTATTCTGTAACCTCAGGGGTTTCTCAAGGTTCGATCCTTGGCTCTATACTCTTTTTAATTTACATTAACGATCTTCCAGATATTCTCACATCTAAGGTGGCATTGTTCGCTGATAATACTACTATTTATTCTTGTCACGATTCGAAGCCAACTCCCTCTGATTGCTTGCAGGAGGCATCTGAGCTTGAAAAGGATCTCACTTCTGCTACAGCATAGAGCTCGCAGTGGCTGGTGAACTTTAATTCAGATAAAACTCAATTTTTTTCAGCCAATCGTTATCGCAATAATTTAGACCTAACAAATATTTATGAACGGTAATGTACTTGATGAGTCTCTTACCCTTTATCTTCTAGGATTAACTCTTACTTCTGATCTTTCTTGGAAACCTTATATCAAATCCGTTGCAAAATAAGCATCTGCTAAAGTTGCATCTCTTTATCGAGCTCGACACTTTTTACTCTGGATTCTATTCTCCATCTCTATAAATCTCAAATCCGGTCTTGTATGGAATATTGTTGCCATATCTGGAGCGGATCTTCTAATGATGCTCTTTCTCTTTTAGACAAGGTGCAAAAACGCATTGTAAACATAGTTGGACCTGCTCTTGCAGCCAACCTTCAACTTCTGTCACATCTTCGTAATGTTGCTTCTCTTTCTCTTTTCTACAAATACTATAATGGGCACTGCTCTAAAGAGCTAGCGTCTCTTGTGCCATCTACTAAAATTCATTCTTGTGTTACTCGTCATTCAATTAAGTCTCATCCTTTTTCTGTTACTGTTCCTAAGTGCTCCAAAAACTCTTATTCGTCTAGTTTTTTTCCTCGAACATCAGTTCTTTGGAATTCGCTTCCTTCATCTTGCTTTCCTGATTCATATAATTTGCAATCTTTTAAGTCGTTTGTCAATTGTTATCTTGCTCTACAATCTTCATCTTTTCTCTTCCAGTAACTTTCAACACTAATTAGTGGTTGCTTGCAGCCTTGTTGGAAGCGAAGATGTTTAAAAGTAAACATCTTCGAAGAAAAAAAAGAAAAAAAGAAATAAAAGACTTTGTCTTGTTTGTAGTCATCAGATTTAATTTAAATAAAAATATTTTTTAAAGTAGATCTTTCAAGTACAAGTAAGTAAAAGATTTATAAATGAATTTATGAGTTTCAAACTATTGTATGTTTGTTTAATTTTTTTAAATAAAAGTCTTTTATTATATTATTTATTTTAAATTACTTCTGTTTATGAAGACATTTAAAACAACTATGTTGTTTATTTATTAGTAATTTTTCAAGACCGCTAGACAGTCCTGTCAAATCTTGAAGTAAATAGAAGTTTTTGTTAAGGTGAAAAAATGAAGTAAATTAGTATTAGCATAGAGTGTATGAAACAATGTAGAAACATTTTTCTAATAAAAAAACTTTTGATTTTGACCAACTGAAAATAATTTTTTTTGTTAAGTAGTATAACAAATTATCAAACAATTTTTTTAGGAAATTTTTTTTGTTCAAATAATTTTATTGATCCAATTGAAATGATATTGTTTAAAATAATATATTGATCAAAGGCAGGGAAAGTTGAAAAACTTATTATTGATTGTTGTCATAGCATAAGTGTATTAAACTTGGTTTAGAGTGTTTTTATCTATTAATGATCATCTTTTCCATCAATTATCACAATGAATACAAAAAATTTTAATGATTAAGTTATACAGATCAACATTAATGATTTTTATTGCTTACATTGACTGATGATATACAAAACAGCATAAACATTTCTATTAAATGGTTTAAAAAGTTGTTCTGCAAATCACCTCTTATAAATGAAATCTTACAAATATGCATAGTATGTATGATTCATAAAGAATTTAAGCTTTGGATGAAAAAACATAGAGGCATAGTTTTGAAGATTCAAATAAAAGAAATTCTCAATATTGTGAAAGAGGATTATGTGGTTATTAAAAGCTATAAAAATTTTACTACAACCAATAAAAGTTGAATAAGATGGCTTTATAAAAGTAATGCTACTCTACCTGGTCCAGAAGGTGCTCTGCCTGGTCCAGAAGATACTCTACCTGATGCAGAAGGTTTACTGATATTTACTTTATATAAATTATTTGGCATAAATTTTTTTTTCTTTCTAATGAATTTTCAATCTGTGAAGCAGAGATTTGAAGAACGCACAAATACCAATTTAGTTTACTAAAATTATTAAGTCACTCATTCACTTGTAATTACTAATCAAATATCAATTCAATATTAGTCTTACAAGTGTCAAGTGAAAGTAGAGTTACCTGTTTCAAGTGTCAAGTGAAAGTAGAGTTACCTGTTTCAAGTGTCAAGTGAAAGTAGAGTTACCTGTTGACTTATTTTGACAGTGCAAATGTAAATATCATTCAATTAAAATTTCATTCTTACATATTGTTGCATTTTACTTTTTTTGTTCTTTTTCATTAATCAGTTATTTTACTTGGATGTATGGTTGGTTATAACAAACTTTATAGTTGTTTGCAAAGTAACAATTTTTTTTTTTCTATTTAAAACTATAATTAGAAATCACAATCTAAACACTTAAATACAAATTACAATAACAGTGTTTAAAATCTTTTTTTTTTTTTTAATGCTTTTTAAACACAGTTAGTATTTATGTGTTTTTTAAAAATGTTATCTACAAATATAAACATTTCAAAAGTTGAAAAAGTGATTGTTGGCACTTTGCTTTTAGTAACCATGTTGGCAATTACACAATAAAGGATTAAAAGTGTTAAAAGAATTATACAATAGAGGATTGAGATTAGAAGTAAAAAATTGTTTAGTGAAGTAATGTTGCCAATATTCAGAAAATAACTATAGCTAACATTTGTGTTATTTCCCACTTATTTTGACAAGTTTATAAAATTTATGAATTTTTGGAAAGTAATTATTAATTAGATTTAAGAAAATTGCCCACGATATCTTGATGTTTATTGAGAAGGAAGGTTTAACCAAATAATATTTTGTGCTTATGATTTTTTGACTTTTTGTGCAGCTCAATCAAATACTTCTTTACTTCTGGAAATATTTCTAATGTGTTCTTTCCTCTGGAAATATTTCTAATGTGTTCTTTACTCTGGAAATATTTCTAATGTGTTCTTTACTCTGGAAATATTTCTAATGTGTTCTAATGTGTTTAGTCGCAGGTGATAATATCAAGTTTTTTTCTATACATAGGGGAATATATTTTTCTGGATATATATGGAATTCTGGATACTTCTTACAACTTTTAGTTTTTCTGGATTTTCAAAACGTTTTAGTAAATAGAAATTTAAATATTATTTTTGCTATATCTATGTTTTTAAACTTTTTCAGATCAAAAAACAAAAAAAAAAATTCAAAAAATTTGACAAAGCCATTAGTTTAAAGCTTAATTAAGACAAATATGAGGGAAATAAATTCCGGATTTTTTACTGAATTTATTTCCCTCATATTTAAAAAAAAATATTAACTTATTTGAAATATTATAGGCCTACAACTCAATCAGGACGCCCAGTGAGTGGATTTGTACGACCTGGAACACAAGGAGGCAGGCCAGGAACTATGGAACAGGCCATCAAAACACCTAGAACTGCAAATACAGCAAGGTTACAAAATATATTTTACAATTTAAAATTATTTTAGTTGAGTTTTTGTTATATATTTTTTTCATTTGTTTACTGGTGTTCAATCTAAAAAATTAATTTCACTATTCATTATGTTTTGAATTTTTTTTTTTTTTTTTGAATTTTCCAAAAAGTTACGCAGTCAAGGCAAAAAAAAAAAAAAAACAAGAAATTTTTTTTTTTTAAATTTATAAGTAAAATTAAAAAACAAACATATAATGAGTGAACCCTAGCCTCCCCTAGTCTACCATATATCATATATGCTTTATTCAAAGTATTTAGTACAAAAAATCATGCTGCAAGTATCAGTTAAAAGATATATTTTTATTTAATTTATTCCTCTTGAACACAATTGAAAAGATTATCACTATATTTTCTTTTTTTATTTTTATCATTATTGACCAACTGGTTTTTAATTAGATTTAGTTCAGATGAATGAATTGGCCACATACTTTTATGCTTTATTTCATTTTGCTTAGGATCATTATCTTCTTGAAATGGATCCCAATGAACTGGTTTTTATCCATAATGCCTTTTATCTCTATGGTTTTTATCCATAATCTCATGAATCCTTCCTGTAGCATGCACAGTAAAGTCTCCACCTTAACAGTGGCTCTAATACACTTAGGATGATACTTTTCATCACCATGCCTCTAAATATAAATCAGCCAAACTCAATTGTCTTCGTTGAGCAATAATCTATCCTATATCTTTCAGAAAATTAGTATTATTACTTTTTCCACACAAGTCTAACTTATAATATCTATATCAGCAACCGTAATTTCAAAAAATAAGGTCAGCAGTATTTTGCCAACCTTGATCTGTGTGAAGTCTGCATCAGGTAGGCAGAAAAATTGTAAAACAAAGGTTTACCATAAAACATAGAAATGAGGACAGCAATTTTTGGCCAAACTTAAATTCTTCTGGGCTTGCAGTTTTTTATTTGTTTACTTTGTTTTGTTTTATTTGTTTTATTTGTTTTGTTTGGACAAAATGAACTGGTACAGATATATCATTTCATGGATAAGAGTTTTTATTTATTACAAGAGCAATAAATAAATAGTGTTAAACAAATAACAGTAATTGCTATATTTAGTTTTTATTAGAATATATCCCATAAAAATATATTCTATATATTTTTAACAAAAGGAATTTTTCTAAAAAATTTAAATAAAATCTTATTTACAATTTGTTTTTTCTAGTTTTTTGCCACAAAGTGATATACACAATAATAATATACTATATATATAATAATAATATACATATACTAATTTTCTGAAAGATATAGGACAAACATTTTATTGAAAATTAAATTTAAAGAGAAAAACTACAAAAAGAAAAGAAAGACGTGTAGCTTAATCTGCCCCTAAAAACTCTGCATTAATACAGATGAGATAAAAGTAGAATCTCGTATTATCAACATACGTGAAAAAGTTTTGGCTTTAACGATATGCGAAAGAGTTGCATAAATCATTTGTAACGGTCACATACGTGAAAAAGTTTTGGCTTTAACGATATGCAAAAGAGTCACATAAATTATTTGTAACGATCTCATACGTGAAAAAGTTTTGGCTTTAACGATATGCGAAAGAGTCGCATAAATCATTTTTAACGGTCCAAGACAAAGTTGACATATTCTTATTCAGAAATTATCAATCTTGTCAATTTTTTTTTTTTTTTTTTTCAATTTAACATAAATATAAAAATTTAAAACAAAACAGTTTAAAGGGATCCAAAAGTGCCAAGACAAGTTGTTTTCTTTTTAAAGAGAATGATAAAAAAATGTTTAAGCAGAATTTTTTTTTTATCATTCTTTTTGTAGAATTTTGATAAGAAATCTGAAAGTTCTTTTTTTTTTTAATCAAATTATAAAATTTTTTCAAATTATTATTATAGATTACTAAAGAATTTTTTTAGTTTTTTATTTTATATAAAAGTTTTTTTTCATCATAAATTACTGTAGAATTTCTTTAGTTGTTTTTTAAATTTCACAAAGCTCGCATTAAAAATATAAAATGTTTCAGATATTTTAAGCTCGTCTATTGCTCTAAATTGTTTTTTGTGTTATATTTATTATGTAATGTTTTTTGTAATAATTATTTGTTATGAAATGATTATTATCCTTATTAAGATTCTGTTAGAAAAATAATTTTGTATTATTTAACACTACCGCAAGCCGCTGAAAGCGGCTTTTGATTTTTTCAAATTTTAACCGCAAGCTGCTGGTAGTAGTTTTCGAGTATGCTTCACAATTTATCTTGTTTTGTACGTAAATTTTCTCTCTAGACACATATAATTTGTTTGCTCTAAGGTTAAATTAATTCTCTACATAATCTAAGGTTAATTAATTCTCAACATAATCTAAGGTTTAATTAATTCTCTACATAATCAAGAACAAATAAGAGTTATTGTTAAAAGTTATCACTTGACAAAGTTAAAAAATCTTGAGTAATCTTTGATTAAAAAAACTTCTTTAAATTTAGTTGTAAAATAAAGCAGTGTTAACACTGTAAAATTTAACTCATAGAAGTGTATAAGTATTTAGCTAAGTAATTAAAAGTATCTTTTTTTTTGTCTCGAAAAACATTCTTTTTATATATTACATGAGGGTTATTTTGGACTTAATGTTTTAATTACTATTTATAAAACAATGGTTTTAATCACTTTGCTTTTCTTATTGTTCAATGATGTGTGTTGGAGACATTTAATTAAAAAGTTCATTTGTTTAGCTTTTCTATTGATATATAGTTTGTTATGCTTATAAAGAGATTTACTATTCAAATTTTAATAAGTTGTCAATGTTATGCCTTCCAAATTTTATTCAAAAAAATGTGCAGTCACAGTGTAAAGATTTTTGTTAAAACGGCTGGTAGTGAAAGAGTTAACCTTATGAAAGTTTATTTAACAGCATTTATTTGCTAAACTTTTCATTGGGTACAAGTATTCTTGAAATTCTTATTTAATCATGCGAGAATATATTTAATGAAATTAATTCTGTAAAACATGTTTTGCTTATTTTATTTTATTTTTAAAGTTGAACAATTATTGGTTAAGATTGCAAAAAAGTGTATTATTATCAAGTAAATTTTAAAGTTGAAATCGTTTAATGAAAAACCTTTTAATGTCAATTTTGGTAGTTTTTGATTTGTAATTTTAAGAGACAGGTTAATATAAAATACTTGCCAAATACGATATAAATTGGGAAGTATTAAATACAATATTTTTTTTAACGCGCCCTGTGACACATTGACAATTTTAATTGCCATCTGTCTAGAATTATTGCCATAAAACATTAATTATTGCTTTAATTAATAAAAAGCTGTCTGTAAATTTGTTAAGTGTAAAATCTATAAATATTTTCTAACTAAAAATTTAAAAATTCAGCAAATATCTCTAATAAATGATGTTGTTTACCAAAATTCTTTATTAATTAAAAATTTAAGAATTTGTAAAGTGTCATTTCGATATAAGAACAAAAACAATGATAGTGATAAACGGCTTAGAAAAAAAGTTCACATTGTTAACAGAAAAAGAAAAAAGTTTCAGAATATATAATAAGGTCATCAACAACTTTTTTGAATATTTATTATATTTTAACATAAAAATCTTAAATCTATTTGTTACTCGCACGCTCTATAAAAAAACATTCTTTTGTTTCGCTTCTTATAAAATTCATAAGATTAATTCATAAGATAAAGTCATAAGATTGATAATTATTTAAAAAAAAAAAAAAAAAAAAAAAAAAAACTAATATTGATTCAAAAGAAAAAAATTCTACAATGATGTCATTTACTAAAACTCTATGGAATTAAATGTGCTTGAATAAGTTATTAATAATATTGAATAAAGTCTGTAGATTGCGGTGTATATTTTAAAGACATTGAGAGATGAACTAACATGGAGATGGCAATCTTCAAGTAAAACAACAAAGTTTGTTTTTGCTGTTACATATTTATTATTTTGTTTTAGTTAAAAAATTCTGTCCAAACATTTTTTTTACCATTCTCTTTAAAATAATATATATATATATATATATACAACTTGTTTCAGCACTTTGGGATCCTTTTAAGCAAAAAAGACTTTATATTATTGAAAGTCTTTTTTTATTGAAATTATTGAAAGTCTTTTTGACTTTAATGAAAGGGTTTTTAAAAAGCTTTTTTAAAAATTCTGTAGATTGTTATAAAGTATCTTTACATATGTTATGCATATAATATCTCTAAAACTTAAAAAGTGTTTTATTTTGTATTTTAAAAAAATCAAAAAAAAAATGCCGGCAGTGGTAGGACTCAAACCAAAGCTTTTTCGTTTAGGAGCTCTGCGAGCTAACCACTCGGCCATGTAGGCATGTTGATTAATGAAAATTTTTTAATTATATAATAAATAAAAGACTTTAAAAAACACAAATAAATGCTCAATTTACATATCAAATTTGAAGAGATGTTGCTGCAATGCAAATTTCAAGTGAAAGTAAAATTGTAAAACTTGATATATGTTTTAGTATGTTTTAACATTACATAATTTGAAGTTTACATAAGTTAAATATTTGCATACACCTTCGTACACCTTTCTTATAAAAAAAAGTGCTGCAACTCTTTCTCGCAATTACCTTGGTTGTAATGGCTGCCAAGAGTACAGTGTCAAACTTGCTCAAATAAGTGTTACTATTAAGTTGCTTAATATATGATAAAGAGTCTATCTATATATAGTTTATATTTTATTGAAGTAAAATACTTTTACTTCAACAAATTATTGAGTTATTAAACCATGATTATAACATAAAACTTATTATGAAATTGTTGCAAAGAGAAGAAAAGAATAAACTTAGATAATATGAAACATATGTTTTATGTAAAAAATTGAAT